CAGGTGAGGGCCGGGGCCTGCAGGGCTCACCTGGCGGGGCGGCAAGCCCTCCGCCAAGGGGAAGCCCGCTGCTTCACACTTATAGCCCTGTCTCCCGTACGAACTTTGTGTAAAATGTTGGTTTTTTCTTTTTTTTTAAATGCTGTTTCTTAAATCCTTCTGGTGAATAAACCCTGTAACTCAGTAAGTGTCGCTTCTTTGCTTCAGATCACGGTAAAAGATATTGAAGACTTTGAAAAGAGCTATAAAAATTCAGAAGAAGAGCTAGCTGATATTAAAACAGCATACGTGGATTTTGAGGGTGACATGGACAGAATAATGGAGTCTCTGTTGTGTGTGGACTACACAGATGAACCAAGAATACGGAAAATCATAAAAAAAGCCATTGACTCTGGAGAAGTCCCATCCTACAAAGGTTTTGTAAAAGAGCCTAAGAAGAAAAAGATGGCAAGAAAAAGGCGGGTAGGTTATAACAATCAGGGACCAAAGGGAAGCGTTATTTAGCTTAAGCTTTTATTCTCTCTTGGTAGAAATAAATGAAACTGGTTTTGAGACAAATGTTTGCCACAGGATTGCTGGGTTACAGCTCTTGCTCAGTATCTTTGACTTTTGCATTTGGTCTCCACCCCCCACCCCCCCAATTGTTGTGAAAGGCTTTTGAGTCGTAACAGGCTCTTGCCTGTTACTTCTTTCTTTTATTTCATCGCTATACACATGGCTTATTACGGTTTAGCATGTCCCTGCATTTATTTACAAAGCTATGAGTTGCTGGAGTTTAGAAGTGTATGTGGTGGAAATACATTATGCTTGCCTTTTGGTAAGTGCGAAATAACGTTCTGGACTAAATGGAACTCCAATTTGTGGAGGTTTTTTGGACACTTTGTAGAACATGTTATATGCACATCACAGTAACCTTTCTCTAAGTTAAAGAAAGCGTAATAGCTGCTAAGACAAAAAAAAGTGTGGGTAAGGGGAACAGGGATGGGGACAGAGATCACATTCAGCATTGTGAAACAGCAAAAAACTGTCCCACTCTACTAAACTGTGGAACCAGAATGGGCTTTCTTTGATTTCTCATCTGTGGCCAAACTTGGAAAGGGTTCGTGTTTCCTTGCAGCTGTCTGTATGCAGATGCAAAAAAAACCTGTTTGGCAACTACTATAAGACTTTGCAAAATACTTTTAAAAAAATCTAGTTTGCTATTTTAGGCAGAAAAAGAAGCTAGAGAGGCAGAAAAGACCAAAGATGAACTGGGCATTGGTGGAGAAGATGACTTGAAAGCGCTGATTCAAGTAAGGCTTTTTGTATCTGTTGAAGATAATTACGTTACTGGCTTATAATTGTGTTTTCCCTGAGCAGCTTTGTATTTTGGATCCTTGCAACTCTTCTTCTGAGTTCCTGAGGTTAAAACCTGACCTTTATCTTTACTATCTATGTACTTTAATTAATAGTCAGAGTATGGTATGAATTTTATTACCTGTGTCTTTTTAAAAATGAAAAAAGTTATTCTAATATTGCATACACAATCAAAATATTTCACTTCTAGTTTTAGCCAGTTAGACAAGGAATGTTAATGATTCTTGCTTTCTGAGGGATTCCACGAGGCCATAGAAGCTGATAGGTCTTACTGTTTTGCTTTTGTATCTTGGGGATCGAGGAAAGAAACGTACTGTTTATGTTCTGGTTTTTGGAACATTTTGTTTCTTCTTTCTTATCCAGTGGGCTTCCTAGAATGTTCACGCTTAGTCATTCTGCAAATTAGAAATTGCTTTGCTTTTCCTAGCCTTATGTCCTGAATTTTTATAACTGCTCTTTACGTCTGGCTTTACTTCAGGAATGTAGGTATGGAGCCTAGAGTGTACAAGTAGGGTTTTGCTTGATGGTACTGTACTTTCTGTAGCTTGTATTCCCTGTTTAGTATATTCTGAGATTTTATGTAGCTATTTAACTTCAATAGAATAATCTGTATTGGGAAGTAGTAAAAGTTTTGGGGATGTTTTGTGATATTTTTTTTTATTTTTCTTCTCTCCCAGAGCAGAAATAAAGATCGACAAAAGGAAATGGATGACTTCTTGGCCCAACTGGAAGAAAAATACGGGAATAACGCTAAAAAGAGAAGAAAGAAGACTGCAGCCAAGAAAGGAAAGAAATAAAGAACTGTGTAGGTTGAAATATCAGGTATCATTTTGTACGGGAACATGTGGATTTGGGAGAATTTCAGAGTTTTTCTCGGCTACTGTTTCGGAGTGTGTGTGCATCAGCTTGCTGTGACTGGGAGGTATGATACAGGACACATCATGAACAAGAAAGACAAAGCATTCTGGTGCTACTGCTTAAAATCCTTTGGGTGCTCTTCAGTTAAGATCAAACAGATTCTTGACTAAAAGTTTTGGGACAGTAAGGAAGCAGTGTAATGTTTGGGATGGCAGTGTGTTTCTTAAACTTGTGTTGAAGCACCTTCCTTCCAAACACCTGATGGTAAAACAGTGTAATCCCACACCTTTGAGAGTCTTCAACACTGATTCCTGTGGTTTCTGAGTTGGAAACCTTATCTTTTTGCTATTCTTTTGTAACAAACCTTCTGCTGTTTTTAAACGTCTTTGCACTTCAGCTCAACAGGTGTTTTCCAGATATTCCAGTGGTTTTATAAAGATACTTGGAAAATCACAGATTTAATAAATGAAAAGCTTTTGCAGAATTCTGTGCTACATTGCTTCCCCAGCCCTCTCTACATTTTCTAAGTAGCTGTTCGAAACAAACTGATCGTGTTGATCTTCGGACTGATTTAAGCCGAGTCAGGACTACGTACTTCTATAGCAGCTGAAAATATGGCTATATTGTTAAACTCTGGCGTTGGCGCTCGTGATGCTACGTTAGATGAAAGGGCCACCTAGTGTTTGGTCTTCGATTGCCTGTGGCAGATGCCTTAGGAAGAATACGAGACTGCAGCACACGCATGACTCTGCAGAAATTCCCTTAACATGCTGAGGTGAGGTAATAAACTTTAAAAATCCACGGAACGCAGTTGGTTCTGTGTATTTCTAGGGTTTGTGATGTCCCATGACAAGGAGTTTGAAAGCTTGGAAATGTATTGCGTGTTATTTCAATAGCATCACAGTCAAGTCTGCTGTAGGATGGTAGTGATGAGCTACTCCGTTGTCTTTGTCAACACTTCTGTTATTTCAGAAGTGAATTATTCTGTAGGGTGTGCAAATACTTTGAAGGTTTTTTGCCTCAGCTGTTTTTAAAGCACTTAACATAGTGTGCAGGGGTATGAATTTGAAGGGTAACTAGTTTTCAACTTACTAGAGCTCAAAGGAATGAGGCTGGCTTTATTTTGTGGATCGTTTTTCAAAGGCTTATGAGCTACAAGGTGAACAGTTACTTTTGAGTTGAAGGTCCTTGTTGCTTCAGTGATAGCATTCAGGAACTGACTATTTAATAGAGCTTCCTGGGGAAAAAGCTAGAGGTAGATGGTAACTCGGTTCCCTTTTACTTGGCTGCTTTCAAAAATTATCCCGATTCTGAGAGAGTACAGCATAGCATTACGTCACATAACGTGTCTTGAACATTACTTTTGCTGTACAAAATAGATATCTAACAGCCCAGGAGAAGTCTCTGGTGTCAATTGTTTGTACAGAAACTAAAAATTACCTTACAATGAGACTGCTTTCACTTCGACACACGGACTCCTCTAGGCTATAAAATACTGTGTTATGTTTCTAGAAGTCTATTCAAGTTTGCTTATGTATTTTTATAACTCTTATGCACTAGGGCTACAGAAAACTAACTTGGTCCCTGAGGAATGGCACCAATATAAACAGGATGTTTATCTCCAGTTAGCTTGAGATAACTAAATGACGCACTGTACAATGTTCCAGTAATCTTACCTGTTAAGAGAGATTGGTTTTTAAAAGGGTTTAGTGAATAGAGGATTCTTTTTAGCATCAGTTTATCTCTAAGCAAACTTAAGAGATTTAGATTGAGCCCAGAGCTTTTTTTTCCCTTCTAGAAATGCGAAGGAAATTCAACCCATTACATTTGCACAGTTCTGCTTTGTTTTGAGCATGTGTGGATCAACTGGACTCAAGAACTTCAATACTGATTAAAAACTATTACCTGTCCTGTAGGTACCATTAACATTTGAGAGATTGCATAACTTAGAGTAGGGAAATAGGGGAGCCACTTCATAAAGAATACTGACAAGTTTTTTCCATTATAAATTGTAATTTGAAAAATAAGAAAATTTAGGGGAAAAAAAAGTGCTCTTTAATTGGATTATAAAGGAACAACTGTTTTCATGCAGTGTCCTAACTTTGTTAAAATACAGTTAAGTGTAAATAAATTACAGTTAAGTCCTTAAAATACAGTTAAACCCTCACCTCGTCTTTACGCTTACTTGTAGTCTGGTGCTTACTGTTTGGGAATAAGACCTTCAACTAATCACTTCTTTTGAGAAGCCTGTATTTCATGGTTTTGTCCTATTTGGAGCCACAAGGGCAACTACAGCTACTACCTCCAGTACGTCGGTCACACAGTGCAGAACACATCTACTAAAAGCTACGCTGCATCGGTGGGTTGTGGAACTTCATGGCGGGGTGCAGAAATCTGGTATAATTGCAGGTATTTTTAGAAAGGGAGACTGACCTGTTTTGTGAAATTACCATAAAATATCTCACCAGGAAGACAATGTACTTTCTTTGAATACTGTCTGGAACTACTTGTAGTAAGAGACTCCTTTTTGCCTCTTAAACCTTCTTCAGTCACTGAGGAAGAGGTATAAGTATATAGCACAGGAAGAATCAGTGGTGTGCCACCCTTGGAGCTGTCGGTTCTGTCCATCTGGTTTGCTACCTTAGTTTTACACAACTGTGTTAATATCTGTTGCAATTACTACAGGATTCATAACTTGTCTACATTGAGTTACAAGCAGTACCAGGTGCAGTGCTTGCTTTTGATAGTATAATATTGCTTTAAATATATAAATACAGTTTTAAAAACTTAAATTACTACTGCTCTGGAAGGCATGATTAATCTTCTGTTGAGCTAATGGAAAAATCAGGAGGTTCTGCAGTACCTGCCTGTTAACCACATGAACCAGTCACAAGCTAGTAATGGGGAAACAGCAATGACTGAGAGCGTTTGCTAGACTTTCTGGGAGTTAGGCTTTACTGTCCACTGGAGTATATTCACCGTTCCACTGGAGTATATCTTTTTCTACTGGTAGAAAATGGAATGTTTAAGTATACCCCTTCTAATCTTTGGCAGCTGCTTCTTAGATTTTATATAAAAATAACTATTCATAAGGAAGGGTGTTTGAAAACTCTCTGTAAACAATGTTGACATTGCTGAGAAGGAGAGGTGGTTCATGACTCTCTGGAGATGGATGGATACTTCTTCATGGCACGTCAGAACCCCTGTTTGCTTTTTGTGACTGATCCACTTCGACTGTGGGCTTTCACAGAACCATGCAGCGGAAGACCTAACAAACAGAGATCATGTACAACTTAGGACTCCTGGAAGGTATTAAAACTAAGTACTGAATACACCTCCTTGAGCGTAAAACTAAAAAGCTTTTTTGTTGTTGCCTTTTTATTCTAATAGTGGCTATCAACTGCATTATTTATAACTTAGGCAAGTGTGAGGCAAGTGACTGGCCTTCCAAAAGGGGCAAAGTTTGTGCTTTCGTAGTTGCTGTGTGGCAGGGAACTACTGTATTCCTTGATATTTCATGAAGTATTCAAATCTACAAAGTTCCTAGGCTGATTTCAATTTCTTTTTTTGTTAATACAGCAGTCATAAAACTCCTCTTGTATTTAAAGACACTGGGGTTTTGGGGGACGGCAAGGGGGAGCTGATACTTGTTTTAATTTCAGCAGGACCTCCTTTCTTGTTTAAAACCAAATTACTTCAGTTTAGTACCTTTGTTCAACTCAAGTTGCCTCTTGTACCACTTATATTCGCGATAGTATGCCATTCAGCTATTAAACAAGCTAAAAGACTCCTCCTGTCCTCTAATAATCACCCATGTACTTGCTACCTTAACCTTTGCAGCTTCAATCCTATCTTGTTAGTATATTTTTCTGTGGGAAATTCTGACAACTCCGTAAGGAATCCCAGAACACTGTGATGAAAGGAATCCAGTGCAACTTGTCTTGACAGACCTAGTTTTGAGAAAGGGCATCTAATGCCCTGCTCTGTGCCACCCTTTCCAGGTGGAGGTGATACTTAACTGGACTTTGTATTGAAGCTAAGGAGGCATGCTCAAGGTGAACTCAGCTGAGAGCTATAAAGATGGCATTCAGAAAAGCTGTTCCGGGGTGCAAAAGTTCACTTTCTGCTCTACCATAATCTCTGAACAAACTCTCTTTCAACTGACTAGACTAGCCCTGGTGTGTCCAGCAAGAGGTCAAAACTGAAATCTCTGAAGGTAAGTTTCATTTGTCTACCATAACACTTGTGTACACACATGCAACTTAGTATTGTAGCTTCCTGCTATTTAAAAAAAAAAAAAAAGGAAGAACCACAAAACAACCCTGGTTGTGACTGTGTAATCACTCTGAAGCATATGTGAAGACTATTTTCAAAGTGTATTAACCATAAACAATTTAAGGTGATGACTTTGCAGTGAAGGAAGGGAAACTAGAGGGAAGATGTATGCATTACATTCACAACAAAGATGCCTTCCTGCTGCCTTGATACTTTGATCAATTACCAATAAGTAATTTCAGATGAGATTCATTTTAGGTTGTGCCAAGTAACCATAAGTTCATCCAATTGTTACAACTTAGTACAAGCAACTCTGATTTCGGAGTATGTATGTGAATTGTACTTGTACAGTTACTGGCTTTAAAGTATGCTTTGAATCGATCTAATACAACATTCAGATCTAGTAGAATCCCTTCCAGATACAGTGCAAATAAGTTTCTTTTGGATATAATGCAACTTCTTTCAGTTGTATAGTTGAGCAGAAGAAAAACCCTTGGACAGAATGTAGTTATTGCTAGTTTCTGTTTAAATTGGCAACTCCTGCTTTTACCTTTGAGAGGCATTGGGGCTGATTACATGAAGCCGCTTTAAATGATTTAAGATACTAGGTGGTAATAAACCAAACCTGCACTCAAACATACTGTATATGCAACTATATAAAACT